ATCCGTAACATTTATAACTCGCCGATACTTTGAGCACACTCAACGCACGCGATTAAATGGAAGGAATTAATTCGGTTTGCATATTCTCGACCATAGGTCGCTTTAAAGCGGTAGTAGTTAGCATTTTTTTTTACGCGCGCCATTCTCATTCGTTAATTATTTTTCCGCCGGTGCCTCTCGGCACTGTTGCTTCACACTCCAAGCGGGCATGATATATTTCCTAGTTTCTAAGATCTGAAAGATATTTCGAAGCTCGTTAAGTACAGGCAATGCATATTACGCCCACGTGCAAATACCGGAGGCGATACACAAAAACGAGGTGCGTAACGCAGATGACCAATAAATGTCGACAAATACAACGCAAGTCGCACCGTTGCTTTCCGTTCAGAAAGGCTGTGTACTTTGCATTTCTTCATATCCAACTGGCTAAGCAGCTCATACATATCTGCGTTGAATCTTAACGTGAGATGAATAAAATAATAATAAGTCACAAGTTTTTTCACTCATTGATGTAAAATATAATTGCTCTGAACAGAATATTATATATTTCACTAGTCATGTCTAGTTAATTATACATGAGAAAAGAAAAAAAACGATGTATTATAAGAAGCGTGGAAAATAGATGAAAATTCTTTGAAAATCAGCGGCAAGCATAAAACAAATATTGCCTTTTTTGCAAGTAATTGAGAAAAATTACACGTCGACCGAGAAAGCGCAAAGACGCATTTGCAAATCGAAACGTCATTATATAACCACGCCTAGTTGCGAAACTGTTTTCTCGTCTTCTCCTGCCTACAGAATAGAAAATTATTTCTATAATTGGAACGATAATATCGAATTCGCAGTCATTCATTTTATCCTGGCGTGACGCTTTGATCGTGACGCTTTTCGCGGCTCGGAACATAAACAGAACTTTAGCGGTCATAATCTCGCGGAACTGGTCTCAAGGTGGAACACTTGTGAATAAAGACTTATGTTGATCTCTTTCTCTCAGTCATAAAAGGGCGATGCTGCCTTTATAAGACCTTCGCATATTCACGCGAAAGTGTATCGGTCTTTGTTGAAGGTCGCGAATTGTCTGTACCTGTATCCTAAAGCGCTCAAAATGTCACATACATTTTTCTCACATTGACATGAACTCTCTTGACAATTAAAACTCATCTATTCAAAGCAGTTGGTCAGTGGAGTGCCGGATTTTCAGCGGTGATATCAAGGGGACATTTCGTAAGTTTATTATTTACTGAAAAAAATACTTTCTTCTAGCTTTATTATCTAAGTGATAAATATCTAATTTTGAGCGCACGGAATTAAGAATAAATATACACACAATATTACAAACAGAGATGTTATTTATTTCTTATTTTTCTTATTTATACATCAGTTAAGCTAATAGAGATGCACGCATAATAGAAAGTGGTATATAAATATTTAAATAAGTATATATAAAATACATATATATCGTGAGTATTGCTACAAATTGTAAATTTTCCATGGTTATATTTTCAAAACAAAATGGTCAGCAATTCTGAAATTTTCCTATGATGTATCTATATTTATCCATTAATATCATAGTAATTTTTCATCAAAATCCTGAATGCCGTTTAGAGGAAATTAAAAATAGAAGTTAAAAGTAAGTTATTAACCTCAAGGAATATGTACAAGAAGTGTCATCTTTAGTATTGCCGTATTTCTTTTCCTCCCCTGTATTATTGAAATCATACGTTTATCTCATTAAACGTTTATCGTCGCTAAACTTTCTAACGCGTCAATGCTACGTTTTCTTTCCTTTCTTGGTCTTAAGAAAAATTATACGCACATGACAGACAAAGGCTGCAGTTTATTAATAATTGACCAAAAATATCGCTGCAATCAACACTCGTAATATCGACTGTAGAAGGGCACGTTGCAATCATATAATCGTGAACATCGAACTAATATAATGTCCAATGTAAATATAAATTATAAATATGTCTGCGCTCACAAAATACAATAAAATGTATATCGAAAATGAACATGATAATCGAGCTGTCAAGCATCAATAATGTGATCAGATTAATTCCTTCAATACAACAGCGCACCGACTAGACGCATGCTCGCATGCTTTAACACACAATGATGCCTGTCATTTTTGTCAACGTTCATTTACATTGTGCAATTATTATGTATTAAATAAACGTCGACACCGTCACTAAAAGATCGCTAGTTCACATTTACACACCGGCATACATAATACCTCCTTTCTCGCGGACAATGACACAGCTCGCTGACTAAACATGTCGAGATCGTTGAATTTTATTCAACATTTTCGTCACGGACTCGCCGACTGAGGGGAGGAAACTCATTCTTAGTTCGATCGGTCTTGGTTTCCCCCCTTACCACTGTCTTCTCATTGTTCGGTTCGCATTTCTTTCTTAAGCGGGCCTCGTTTCGAATCCTTTTACGCGCGGGAAACGCAGGATATAATCGCAACCGGTTTATAATCTTTCCTTCATCTCGAGGTCTCCCACTCAAGGTCCTCCCGAGGCGACGGATCCTCAATTTGCAATTATGAATCGAGGATAGCGCATCCGTTATTCAAGCGGAGCATCTCCGAGACTGGGAGTCTCGTTCAACGAAATTGTTTCGCCTTTCTCCTTTTCGATTTGCGCTTAATAACAGACAGCGAACAGAAATGATAGAGGACGCGAGAAGACGCGTACGTAGCGGTAAAGCGTGCGCGGCTGCGCATGATAACTAAGCACCTCCGCAAGGATACTAAGTTGTTTTTCCGCCTCCTGGGAATCGCGGTTAATCGCGGGGAATTCGAATTCCTATCGTTGTTCTTTCAAGTGAGATCCCTCTCCGGTCTCCAATCGTCCGCGCTCGCTGCACCGCGCTATCATTATCATATTGTTTACGTTGAACCGGATTGTTAACGTCATGTATCTCAAGAAGCGAGCTGGCCGCCGCGCACGACCGTCGTGCGATTGATACCGTCGTTAAGAACGTGCGACGGTGCGACGTTCCGCTCGATTTATCGCTAGTTATGCTCTATTGTGACACGAAGATACAATACCCGCGGTAAATCGCTGCGTGACGTCGTTCGTTAGAGCGACAGTGTGTATCACACAGCGACTGGGTGCACTTTCGCCGATATCTTAACGAAGGGTGCGATCACTTGGAAGGATCGCCCGTGTTCGCCCGGACAGCTCCGGCACGCTGAGAAATCCATTTAGTTGAATCAATTGAAGTCTTGTTTGATGGGCGAACAAATTCTTCGGTTGTAAGAAGGTTTTATTCTCTGAACCCCAAGGTTTGGTTCTTCTGGCGACTTCTGAAACTTCCGAAAACCAAACCTTCGGTTTAGACAATCAAACCTTGGTTATTATAATAAAAAAAAATGTATTTGCCCATAGTCGAGAATTTCGTTGATTTAGCTAAATGGGTTCCCAGTGTAGGTGCAGCGAAGGAGGACGTTAGCTTCGCGAATACATTCCCGTTCACCTTGGTCCGAACTTGACGGGAATCTGGTATCTCCCTTAGAAGGATGTTTGACCCGGGGAGACGAGGCGATGGCCAGCCTAAAATTCTTGTACGCGCGCGGAAGGTGCAGTGACCCTGCTGGACCTGTTCACCTCTAACTGTGACAGCTCGTTCACTTACATCTCTCGACGGTATCCCGGCTACTTCAAGGCGTCCTCGTGTTGCAAGCCTCGTGTTTCCCTTCTTCGCGCGAACTCCCCGTCTCGTACGCGCCGGCCGATCAAAGAAGATTGCGGTACGACGACCTGCTGGAGAACCCTCTTCGTGTCCTCTATTCGCTCTATTCGCTCGTATCTCTTTCTTTGCACCGCGTCTCATTGCCTGTTTCGTTTTTCGGACGATTCACCTCGACCATTTCTCGCCATCTGTTCCCTCTCTACTCGGGAGTTAGCTAATATTAGGTCAGAATGCATTAAGAAGATATCATCGAAGATTGATTCCCTCGTTCGCGGTAATCACGATCCTCAGTCGTGGATCCGCGACGTCGTCGGCACTTTTATGATGTCTTGATTGCCTGCATATGCTGAAGTGATTATAGGTCACTCGACTCCGTTCGATTAAATCGATAATTCATGGACTGATGACGGAGCGACTAGAGGAGTCTGTGGCGAGGGAAGATTTCGGCGAGCGTGATTTTTAACTCTCGATTTCGGCGAGTTCGCCCTTCGAATGACTGGCTGCATTTGCTGAAACGATTATGGGTCACTCGACTCCGTTCGATTGAATTAAATCGATAATTAATAAACTAATGGGACGGAGCGACGAGAGGGATCTGTGGTGAGGGGAGATTTCGGCGAGTGATTTTTAACGTTCGATTTCAGCGGAGTTCGCCCTTCGAAATCTCGCGTGTAAGGAGCGCGAGCGCGGACGATTTCTGAAGCCTTGCGACAGCATCTCCCTGACATGCACTCGCTGTGACTAAGAAAGGGGTGTAGTTTGACGCTCCTCTTGTGTTATCACCTCGCACGCCGACAATGTACACTCTCAGAAGGAGCAAGGACGAGCGAGGTGGATGAGCGTGACAATGTGTTTCGCGTTACCCGTCGCGAGTCTCTTAATGACAAAACGCGCGCCGTTGCTGCATCGCCGCGGAGAGACTCGACTAGTGTTGCAACGGATCGCTGGCGAGATGCGCAGCTTTCTTCTCGTTACACGAGCGTGTAAAACTCGTCGAAAAGTGGAATAATAAATTCTCCGTGCACAGGATAACGATCGTGCATGCGTACGTTGCCGCGCGCGCGCCTTCCCCTTGAACCTTCCCCTTTCACTTTCGTATTCGCCACAATATCTGGAGGACATGACTCCACAAGTCGCTTGTCGTTACTGTTATCGTTGCGCGCGCAAAATGCCGTCGGAGTCGCGCGAATCTGCGAAATTTCGCTGCCGGTTTACGTATTTCCGTTTCCGGTTGTTTTTCTCCCGCGCTCGCGGGTCGTCGTTGAAACCGGGGCTGATAATTTTCGATGATTTCGCAGCTCCGAAGCTTCGAAGGCTCGTTTTCGAAGACCGTGATCCTCGGATCCCCGAAGCTCCGAAGAGCACGATCTTGCGAATGCTGTAGACCAATGTCTATATATATATTTTATACAGAGAATACTGAGAAATATTGCGGACGAACCTTCGTAAGTGAATGGACGTACCAGGCATTGTATAGTTGAAAAATCTTGTAATTCCGGTGTTTCGAAGCTTCGGAGATTCGAAATCCGAACGTGAGAGCCTTCGGAAAGAAAACATCAGCCCTAGTTGAAACAGGAGAAGGATCGTTTCTCACAAAATAGAAAAGAAAGATATAAGTAGATGTTGAGAAATCAAAGCGTCCTGCGGGGAATGTGAACTGATGTATGTCTCTTTGCAGATTTACAAGTCGTATATTTCGACACACACACACACACACACACACACACACACACACACAAGATGTCGGGTATCGTGGAGTGGTACAGGGATTTGATGGACAACAGGCACGGTAATTGAGAAAAAGACTTTCCAGCATCATAAGAAAAGAACGAAAGATACAGCTGACGTGTCGCATAATGCCACTATGTTTCCACAGATCCGAGAACAGAAGGATGGTTTCTGATGTCCGGTCCTGGCCCGGTCCTAACTATTGTAGCGACATACATATACTTTTGTGCCTTCGTCGGGCCGAGATACATGAAGGACAAGAAGCCATACGACCTGAAGAACACCATGATAGCTTACAATCTCATACAGGTCCTGCTGAGCATTTACCTGGTCCACGAGGGTTTGATAGCCGGCTGGTTGTACGACTACAATTTCATTTGTCAACCGGTCGATTACTCGTACAACCCCAATCCGGTCCGAGTAAGTTTGTATTATCTAATTAGCGTTTAACGAGTGCCAGTGAGGTAGTGACAATTGGATCCTTTTAAGGAGACTCGCCTTCGACGTGAATTGAATCGGCGTGAACTCTCGCCTCGTCTCCCGCGAGACGAGACTGGAGATTCCCGTGGCTGTTGGACGATTAATTTGAAAAGGAATAGAAAATTAGAGGAAAAGTAGCAAAATTGACACGAATACGGTAAACATACCTTTGCTTCTCGGCTATAAAGTGTTAAACTCTCGTCGGACAGTGCATGAACTTCATTTATTGTGTTATACAATAATTGGAGCGGCAGTTTCTGCTTGTGAGTGCGTTCAGTTGTGTCATTAGCGTCGTTTGACTTTTCGTTCGTATTCGTTCGGACATTTTGTCGAGCGATTTTCTTTTTTTCGTGAAAATTAAAATAACAAGTCAGCGGCAAATGATTTATTCGACAATATTATCATACAGTGTAAGTTTTATCCTTCTTAGATCCTTCTTTGAATCTTATGCCAATCTCTGCCACCTGTCATTGAATTACAAACAAATCAGATTGTTATGTGGATACTGAATACTTGATTTACTGGTCTTTCGACTGATATATCTGAACTTTGCTGTGAAATATTGTTTCATATCAATATATGATGAACGTGAGATATAATCAATATAAAATGAATGTTCCAATATGACAATCGCATTTGTTCTTTTTAATAAGTCAAATAATATTAATAAGTCAAATAATAAGCTCCATATATTTATCCGAAGAAAATACATGTTTACTCTACATTTGATATGTGTTATAACAAGTTTCGAATGAAATTAAAAGTCATAGCGAATGTTAGAGGGCTCGTTTCGAAAATCCTTTAAAATCCGCACGGTTCCGCGCGGTTCCGAAAGTCACCGGGTTAACCGTCATCGTCGTCGGCGCGACGGTTGCGGCAACTTCAAACCGGTGCTGAATTGTATAAATTCCGCGTCCGTTCAAGAAGTGAAGGAACGTACTCCGTTCTCTCCGTACGAAATATCACCCGACGATAATAATTATGATTACATTATCATTACATTCTAGCTCGATTTTTACGTAAATACACACCGTTCCCCGCGTGTTTCTGCAGATGGCCCGCGGCGTTTACACGTACTTCATATGCAAGCTGATCGAGCTGCTCGACACGGTGTTCTTCGTGATGCGTAAGAAGAACCGGCAGATCTCGTTCCTGCATCTCTACCATCACTCGCTGATGCCGATATGCGGCTGGATCGGCGCAAAGTTCTTCGCCGGCGGCCACCCGACCTTGCTCGGCGTCATTAACTCCTTCATCCACGTGTTCATGTACGGATACTACATGCTGTCCGCGTGCGGGCCGCACATGCAGAAGTACCTCTGGTGGAAGAAGCACCTCACCACCATGCAGATCGTGCAGTTCGCCGTAATATTCGTCCACAACATCCAGATGCTCTTCACCAGCTGCAACTTCCCGAAGCCGCTGTCGTTCCTCCTGACGCTCAACAGCGGCATGTTCATCTACATGTTCGGATCGTTCTACGTGAATAATTACGTGAAAGCGAATAAACAGCGCCAGGAACCAAAGAACGGCTATGCGGCCGCCAACGGCGCGGCCGCCAACGGTGCGGCCACCGCCAATGGCGTCGCCATCGCCGCCGAGTTTTACGCTAACATGATCGTCACGGACCAAATTAAGTCCGATTAAAGGACTCACCGCCGAGGTCCTTCTATTCGCGGGTGACAGGTGAACGATCGCGCGAAAAGGGAAAGACGGGTAACTAGAGAAAAAGAGAGGGAATTTTTTTAGCGGTCTCATCAAGGGGATGGGCACACACACACATACACACGCGCGCGCGCACACACACACACACACACACGCGCGCGCACATTAGGTTCTACTAGGTAGACGTAAAGATAGCACCGTATTTAGCGCGAGATAACGCGACGTTCTCGCGACCCCGGCGTTTATTCCGCTGGTATTTCTGCAACGCGCGAAAGTTACGAAAGTAGGTTAGCGCATACCGGTAGGAAAAGGTGGAGGATAGGTTTCGGCGCGTATTCGCCGCGCCGTCGATCCGGCACGATCCCCGGCACTCTTAGCGGATTACGCTCGCGCGGCTCTTTGGTTATCGCTCGCGTGAAATAATCAGCCGCGCGTATGGTACCGGCGGAATGAATGACGGGAGGCGCGCGAGCCCACTTGACGAGTTCGCGGTGACGCGGAACGATTGTTAATAACGTAACGGCGTAACACGACGGTTTCGTGTCGCGTGACACAGCCGACCTAGGTATCCCGGGTTTCCTTCTGGAGCACTCAAGCGCGAAAGATTCGTCCCGCACATCCTCTCTCGTCCTTCGTGCCGTGCCCGTTCGCCGACGAAGTCAGTGTGTCTCTCTCTCTCTCTCGAGTGGTTTGTACGTAACATCGCGTCGGAGACGCGAAGTTAATTTTCCTTGCGAAAGCATCTCACCGTTTCTCACGGGGCACGGCTTTTCCGTCCCGATTTTAACCGGTCGCGTTTATCATTTCCACGTTTTTCCCTCGCTGCCACGCGCAGCCTATCGGACGGGGGAAGATCGCACGAGTGCACACGAATATGCGTATTTTTGAGGAGACTCGGCGACCGATATTCTCCGGGTACTCGTTTTTCGGCCGATGAGTGAGAGCGGGTCGAAGCGTTCCTCTTCTTAGTCTCGTCTCGATACGGGAAGAAACGCGTTAAAGAGTCGTGCGTTTGCCCGCGCTGTTCCAAAATGCGCAATCCGAGCGCTCGTGAGCGTTAAAGCGGGTGCTTCGTAGCTGAATGCACGTTTATACACCTTACATTTACACAGCACTGGGTTTCTAACGAAGTAAAAAAAAGATATATGCAACAATACGTTTATATGCACACGGATACGCTCGTGGGCAACCCGAGTTGTAAACAGTTGTTTCGGAAAATGTCAGCTTTCCGGCCGGAAAACGAGGTCATACTCATTCTCAGCTGAATGCGCGCTTTTACTACCAATATAACGTTCAAAATCGGGACGTAAGATGTCTTCAAGACATTTCAAGATGTCTCCGAGATGTTTCAAGGACGCGCCTTATCTTCCGATTTTGGATATCGCGCTGTCCGGTTACTCAAATTAGCCGTTTCCGTTAACCAGAAACACTTTTGTAAGGATTCCGTATGCGCATCCCGCGTCACGTACGTCTTACTTTCCTCCTAGACCGAAAGTCACACGATTTTCAACCTTGTGCGCATATACACTGAGAGAAAAAGGCGGTCGGATCGACGAAATCGATGGTCTCCTCCGCTCGACAAAATATTCCGCCCATCAATCAATTGATAACTTATTACGACTGTACAACTCAAGTCTCAACGCACAGTGAGAAATACCTTGTACTCGCGTTAAATTCTTAACGTATCCTTGTGTCAATTTAACACATCGTTTACGTTATTTCAATATATTTCAATATATTAGTGTTGAGTCGACAGACATGTGCAAATGTTGAAACAACACACTTTACACCTTCGGTGTTGATTAACGTATCGTGGGTATCAATTTGACGTTAATTTTTGACATAATATCAGTATTACACATCAACATATTTATCTCGCGTTAAGTCAACGGAAAAATTCGAAACCGTCTGGGACACGTGATATGTGTTAGATTTAACGCAACATTTTTTAACCGTGCGAACAAAACGTCGTGCTTAAAAATAGTTCCGCTCGTTCAAGCAGAATTTCGTCGATTGTGTCGTTTTTTCCTCGATGCGCGCGCAAGGTCGAAAAATTGCAAAACGAGTAATTCAAATTACGGTAGAATTGGTAGAATTATAACGGCCCGAGTTCGTCGATGACGGCTGGTCGAACTTACGTGTGAGCTTGAAAATCACCTTCGGCCTGGGGAACGACAAGGCGCATATAACGTGGTGTGTGTCGAGCGTCTCGCGCGTCCAAATTCCGCGAGAATCTCTCTACAAGCGGCGGGATAAGTCGCGCCTCTCATTCTCCCGCGCGAATGTGCATTTTTTCATCGGAATCCAAGTGTAAGCGAAAGGCGGATAGACCGACCTATCTATCGTAAGCTCGCGCGTGAAAGGTGACCGCACGAAGTCACCGTCCCCGGCTGACACCGACAGCCTAAAGAGCTCTTTAAAATTATATACGCGGTGATGCGAAAATTGCGGCGCAAATTTCACGCTAGTTTGAAGCGGCGAATTCGCGCGCCGCGGTATTGCGCGCGATCGAGTGCGCCGCCTCCGCGCGAAACGACGACGCTCGGTACGTAAGTTCTTATCGAGCAACGATAAGTCAGACTTGCGGTTCGAGCGTTCGCCGCATCCTGCGACTTGCGGTTCTTATCGGTGTTCGATGAAAACTACTCTCGGCTGCCTACAGAGAGCACGCGGTTTACGATCGGCGCAATCTTGTCGGATCGCCGTTGTTTCGGGACTTCACCAAATATATAAGCAGAAGTTGAGAATCCAATCACCGTGAGCGAAGACACAGGCCTGTCGCAGGTGGATTACTTGAAGCCCTGTCTACAATAGGTGTAGCGTAAAAAGAATTTCAGCCGTGGGAGAAATTGACTGATCACAGAATCGGATATGAGAGATAATCGTGTTTGGTCGATTTCTTACGACTTAACGCTTGTCACACCTATTGTTGGCCCGGTTTATTTTCTCAAGGGAAATAAGAGGAAAGAATTGCAGCGCAGAAATCGCCTTTCGACTATGCGTCGGGATAGATAGTTCATAGAACCGCGGCCGTTAGAAAAACCGTACTAAAATGATAGGATAATACCGGTGTTTGCGTGAAACACACAAAGGTTGTTCTACATTAGTTGCAAGTCTATCGCAAGCAGACACAACGCTTGCCGCGACAGTCAATCAGAAATGTCGGTGGTACTGGCGTTGATACTTTCGATCGGCTGTCGCGCGACAAATGGTTGTTTGCAATCGGCTCGCAACTAATCGCAAAACGAGCTTCATCAATCGATGCAACATCGATGAAATGTGCTCCTTTCGGTTAGAAACGGCCGGGAGTGAAAAGGACATGACTCAAACCGTTGACAGTATACATCTTTCGTACATAAGCAAGAATGCAGAGTCTTGTGTGAAAATGCGACTTGTACGTTACACGACGAAATCCTGTATAGTTCCACTGAAATATCGTATCGTTGTTATTCGGAAATCATTCTTATGAGTTGAAGGAAAAAAATATTAGATACGGAAAGAACGATATCTTCAAGAATCGTCGGTCAATTTGAAGATATTCCGATGTTTCCGTCTTCCTGTCCGATATTTTATCCAGTCAGTGAAAATTATTCGCGAATAACGTGAAAATATATTTCTAATAGAATTATACTGGGATTTCTTTCATGTAAGGGCAAGGGTTTTACTTTCATACGAGAACATATATTCTTACTCACATATGAGAATATGAATTTGGAATCGACACTAATTGTTTTTTCTGTGCGCTAACAGATATGCGGGGAGAACAAAATCAGTGTCGCACGACGCACGATTCGTATTCAAAGAAGAAAAAGGAAATAAAGTACGGCGACCCTAACATGTTTCGTCGCAGCCCGAATCACAATAATGCGCGAAATTAAATAGCATGACAAAAAATTATGATGTGGCAATGACACGTGGTGTAAAACGTTGAATGTTTCTCGTAATTTCCGTGGATGGATCAAGAATGAAAGCATCGATACAGAAATGCGCTCTTTCGAATCGTTTCTCGTCTGTATTGTCAATCGCAAAATGCTCCCGTGCACATTTGTAAAAAGTCATTGCGATAAGTTGAACTGCATATCTTACGGTAAAACAGCGTAATCGGACAATCGGCGTACGTTATGACACGTCTTGCAAGGATCGGCATACCGGATGCGTGTGTTTTTGATTCCTTTCGTACATCCTACTTTCGCCAAAAAAATTTTGTAATAAAAAATCCGAAAAAAGAACGGACGTGTACGTTTATTCAGTCTCTCCTCTTGTGACAAACGCGTATATGCGTTGGAAAGCTTTATATATGCGCGTTTTTATTACACGGGATTGGATAATAATTAGCTACTTAATTCAAAGTTAAGTTAAAAAATTAGTAACTTTTAACTTAACGAGATTAATTTTAAATTAATTAACTATTAACTTAAACTAGTTAATTTTAAATGCATTAACTTTAACTTATTAACCCTTTTTCCTATATAAGTTATAATATTTCATTAACATTAAAACCATTGTCCTTTTCCATCTCTTACTTGCAATATAAAATGAGAAAATTCAAAAATAATGCCAGTAGAATTTTCTGTCTGTTCGAACGTTAATGTTTTTTTCTTGTATGGAATCCTAAGCATAAGATAATCAGTATTTTCTTACATTAAACTACCTTTTCTTTATTTATCGGGAGCGCAAATTAGTTCGGTCCGTTTTCAAAAGATGGCTTTGGCTGTTATGAATGTTTCATAGTGACAGCTGATTTCGGTGGTTTCAGAGAGGTTAGACATCTGTCAATAATATTCAGTTTATATCGCTTTGAGTTTCATACAAAACCCCTGTTTTTCGCTGTGTTGAATATGTCACATTTTGTGTTAACTAAGTAGCATTTGCGGGAGGTTTTAGTTTTCTGCTTTAATTGGAAGAAAAGTGCAGCTGAAGCGCATCGAATACTTGTAGAAGCTTATGGTGACAATGCTCCAACTGATAAATTATGTAGGGAATGGTTTTGACGTCTCAAGAATGGTGATTTCAGCGTTGAAGACAAGCCTCGTTCTGGGCAGCCAAAAAAATTCTAAGACAAAAAATTGGAGGCATTACTTGATGAAGATCCGAGTTAAACGCAAGAGGAGCTTGCAGAATCATTGGGAATTACACAACAAATTGTTTCCGTACGATTGAGAAAAACGTGTATTACGAGAAAAACGTCCGGAATACGAACGAAGACATGACAAAATTATTCTTCTGCATGATAACGCTTGGCCTCATGTCGCAAAAGTCGTAAAAAATTATTTGGAAATGTTCAAGTGGGATATTTTACCGCACCCGCTGTATACGCCGGACATTGCTCCTTCTGATTATTGGTTATTCCGGCGGATGCAGCACGATTTGGCAGGTCATCGGTTCACTTCTTTCGCAGAAATCCAAAATTGACTCTTAACTTGGATCGCCTCAAAAGACGAGACATTTTTCCGAGATGGAATTCGAAAATTGCCTGAGAAGTGGGAAAAAGTAGTAGCCAGCGATGGACAATACTTTGATTAATCTATTTATTCATTTTGTTCTGAAATAAATACATTTTTGACCACAAAAACTGACCGAACTAATTTGTACTCCCAATAGAATAAATTTAAATTACGAGTTAAAAGTCAATTATATACAAAAACGCTTATATACATATAGGGTTTGGTATAATTAACTTTTAACTTTAATAAGTTAATTTAATAATATCTTAATTTTTAATTAAGTTACTTTTTGTTTAGGTTTTATCTTAACTAAGTTAACTTTATAGAGAGTTAACTTTATAGACCTTATAGATTTTTAGATAGACTTTATTAATTTTTTAAACTAAACTTTGTTGAAAATAAAAATTAACTTACCCAAGCCTGTTATTATAATATTGTAATAATATTATTTGAATTATTAAATAACAATAGAATATTATTAAAATTGACTCATTGTGTTTATCCACACATTTCATTAATCACAATACATTAATTTACATTTTAATTTTTGATATATCATTTCGTTTAATCACGCGCCTTCAAGCACTCTCATAGTATCGTAAGTCACATCGCTCGTAACGGAAAGCGATGATGCATCGATTTTAAGCCTTACTTAAATTATATATGCTGTATATGTATTATAAAATATAATTTGCCCTCTTTTCTCCCTTTTCGCGTATCTACACCACAACTTTATGCCAGTCTTCAGACTGCCCGTGCATCGGTTCACATTTTCTGTTCTCCTGAACTCAATTTTTCAAATTTTTTTAATTCGGTGAACGGGAAAATAATTCTAAAGATTCACGCTATCTGAAAATATAAAAAACTCAAAAATCGATTATAATCGATATTTTGAAATTTCAAACGTATTTACTTCCCTTAAGATTTTATTGGTATTTTGCTTTCAGATTCGTACATACGATCACTTCCCTCCATTCCGAAGAAGAAAAGTTAAGTGGATAGAAAAATATTTTTTGATACATTTTTTTTCTTAATTATGCAATATATTGTACGAAATTCCTTCGTTAATGAATAAATATCTAAAAGTCATAAGCGTAACTCGTGTAACTCAACGAATACTTCCCGGGTCACAACCTTAGACCTGTCTGAGACCTTCGCTTCCTCTTGATGCTAGCTATCGTCGATAAAATACACTTAAAATTTACACGTGGCAATTGTATGTGTCTAAAATGAAGCGTAAAACTTTCTTCTTTTTGTTGCTTCTTTCATTCTTCTTTCCCTTTTTTTTTCTTGTAATCTCTATAAAATATAATAAATGAAATACGTACCGGGCATAAGAAATATCTCCTTTCCGCGTTTCGTATAAAATCCTATGAAGTTTATACAAATCTTGAAAAAGCGTCACCGACAGGAACGAAGAGATAAACTTGAATTTACATATAAAAATCATTCCTCTTTTATATTATTTGCAATGCTCACGAAAAAAATGATTAAAATTTATACGCAGGAACGTATCACACTCGTCACATCCGTTTGAATAATATAATGTTTAAGATTGCAATAAGATGCAAAGTGGCCGTTGCATTCCTACAAGAATTATACTCATTATATAATCCACGAGCTAAGTTGCAAAACAATATCAGTGTTATGTAAGATGTGATTTTTACATTATTGATACATTAGCGATCGCAAAGTCGGTATATTTATGACGCTTTAGGTATGATAAGTGACGCTTTAGTAGTATGAAAACAATACAACGCAAAAAGTAACATGCGGACAGTAGAAACTGTTTTAACTAAAGAAAGAAAGATTAAGATCTATCCTATTAGAGTTGAAGCATGGCCATTTTCTAGTGCTATTAAATATTAATATTAACAATATTAATATATCTGCGAGAAGATGGAAAATATTAGAAATTGTTGTCTTTTTTTCACATTTACTATGTGAATACTCGAATCGACATGGTGAGATGAAAGTAAATGAAAGTAATTAATAATTAACAAATGTAATAAAAACAGTAAAAAGAACATCAAGGATTCCGTTAAGACGGAGCTCCGTTTATTTCTACGAATCGACGTAATTACGGAATAACGAATGTGCATTACTTTACGGTAATCACGGTAATAATTGCTATAAAAGCAACGAATTAACGTAACGACAATTACAATACAATCATTGCAAACTTATTATGAACATAAAGAGCCGAATATTCAGAAAGTGTTGAAATGAATCTCGTTTCATAACCAACCGATTCTTATTCCGTTTCTATTTTGTATCTTCCGCAAATGTAGGGATTTTTTCACATCTCTTTGTTGTAATGCATGAAAATTTTATTCGAAAGGAGTGGAAGAGACATATATTTTTTCGGAAAATATCATAATATCGATTTCTTATCACGACATTGTCCAATTATTACAGCTAACAAAAATCACTGTTTTAATTTTTACACAACTTTCTAACAACAATAAGAACTATAGAAGAGATATGTCCAATGACTGTGTAATTGCCGATGCATCGCATGCATCTTTTGGCTCGGGTTGTGCACATTTTTCGTACATGTATGTTATTCGTAGTGCATTAACAAACGAAATACAAACCCATGAATTCAATTGAGCGAAATTGCAACACAAATAATAAAAACGTTCGTTTACTACCACCTACATGTTAGGACTGAGTATTGGCGGTGAGAGCATTTAGACAATTGTTACGGGTGTCAGACAGACAGACAATTTTACTTGCAAGAAAATCGTGCTACGATTGCACGGGAATGATAATGTCGCGGCTGAGAAAGGTGCACATTCTTTCTCAAATGTCGGTCGTGATTGTTGCAATGTTTCGTATTCTTAACGATGTCACGAGTCTGAACATTGTGAGTGCAATTATGTTATAATTAGCCGCAATTACCTAGAGAGAAAGAGAGAGAGAGAGTAAGGTAAAATTGAAGGAGCCCGTGCTCTTTAGACAATTACAGGCTTGAAAAATTTTTGGAAATTTGCTACAACAGTTGCAACAATGTCGGCCGAGATTGGTAGGCCGACGTTGCACGAAGTGGTGAAACGTTACGAATCTTTCTTTCGTAGATATATGTAAAATATACATTCGCTGGTAATATTGTAATGTTATGCCAAAATAACTAATCGATCATTATGTATCTTGAATTAATTATGATTCTCAAAACGTATTTCAATTTAGAGAATGCAGAGAATAATTCTTTGTTTTATTTATCACTGCGATTGTCACTGTGGCCAAAGCAATTGTTTCCTTCTTCTTTCTTTCCTTTTCCTCTTTCTTATTCAAGAGAATTATACGCGTTAAATCGATTCCCTAAAACACAAAATTGTATTGGAATTATCGCATTGCTTAATTTATTAAGTCAATCGGTAAGAGACATACAATAACAATTTAATATTCGACAATTTCTCACTGTCATGGATGGGTTAAGTTGTTCAAGAGGTCAATATTATGAAAGGAAGCATTAATATAACTTTTGTGAGTTATGCTCATTTACGCACAAAGTTCTTTCTCATTATAATACAATGAAATAAAGATGAAGATAAAACGATAATTGTAAATGAAATGGGATATACACGTTAGTCGTTTGGAAAATCTCACAGTGATTGGTTGTGTCGGAGGAAATTAGTAAAAACACAAATTAATAAAAACAAAATCAATTTTCATTTTTAGTTGCTTAAAGTAATTACTTTAAGTAATTAAGTAAATCACTACTTCACTTCACTTTTAATTACTTTAAGTAATTAAATAAATCATTACTTTAAGTAAATCATTTAAAATAATTA